CTTCTACAGAAATTATAAAAACATGCAAAATCATTTAAGGAGACGGAAAGATGCAGCCAATCAGGAAGGGGTCTGGCACACGATGGGTATTATCATTTCTGCAAAAAAAAATCTAGGTGTAAATGTGTTAATATAAACATGCTTAAGTGGATCTGTCACTAAAGAATTTTTTAGCAACAATGTATGGATTGGAGAGTAACATTCCATCTTAACCTTGTGCTAACCACTCTGCTAGCGAATGCATGGATTTAATTTTACTTTAAATGGGAAAAGGAAAGCTCCCACCCGACCTGAGCAGAACGCTCTCTCCAGCTGTTCTCACCTCCTAAAACCTCTGATCCAGTACCAGCACTTTATTTAGTATACGACTACACAAAAATAAAGTGGTTCGATTCCCATTTTCCTACAGAGCACCGCAATTATGGAATAACCTCATGGACATGGTCAAATTTCCATTCAATCTAAAATCCTATAAGAGATCTATGGGAACATACCTCAATAAAGAATGCACCTGTCATGGTTGAACATATTGATTACCTGTTATGTGTTAAATTTATATATTTGTGTGTGTATATGTTGTATATTGTATTATTATTATTTGTAATATTATATTGTACCCTATTGTAACAATGCAATGTTTGTGGGCCCAGGACATACTTGAAAACAAGAGACATCTCAATTTATCCTTCCTTGTAAAATATTTTATAAATAAATAACAAGGAAAAAATAATTTGACCTTTCAATTTTATAGTCCCATACGGTCTAATAGAGGATGGCAGAATCCCACAATTCCAAGGGGTTCTGCTCACCCACAGCAATTGTGTTTCTCAAAACCATCTTGAAGGCCAGGAATGATCTTTAGATTCATGTATTTTTTTTTAATCTGTTATTTGTTGGAGACATTCCTGTGTCTTTTACCCAAAAGTGACCTTGTCAACATCAAGGACAATACATCATAAATAAAAGAAAAATCATTTTTTAAGCCCTAATGATTAATATATATTTCTTTTCACGTGATACGTGCCTACTTTAAACTTTGTCTAGGTTGCCAGAAAAAAAAAAAAATAACACTGAATCAACAATGAAACTCCTGACGGGAAAGCACTTGATGAATCATGGCATCGCTGGGAATCTTCGTTAGTTGAAGCAAGCAGAAGGACGCAATGTTGCAAATGAGAAGGACCTACCTGGAAAACTGATGATCCAAATGTAATCCTTCAACAAAATTTGAGGGTGGGACGGACCCTGTTGTCCAGAACCACCAATCGCGTTCACAAGCAGAAGTAAAATATTAATTACAACAAATTTACAAGTTCACAATTGCAGGTAGAACCTCCGGTTATAATATAAAATCTTATACCATATTTCTATACTATCATTTCTGGGCACACATAATGCAAAGCTGCCATCTACATTTATTAAAATTGGAGCAGCCTCCTACCCCATGGGTTTTTTATACTATAAAAATGACATATTTGATAGTGCTCCTAGCTTTATTTAGAGCAAGCAGGTCAAACTAGTTAGACATGTTAAGGAATGTTTTTTTTAAACGGGGGCTGTGGTTTAGTAGGCGGGGGGGAGGGTGCTGGGATTTAGTAGAGGGGGAGGCTGGCATTTAGTAGCGGAGGTTGCTGGGTGGGATTTAGTATAATGGGGGACTGGGGTTTAGTAGAGGGAGTACTGGGGTTTAGTATAGAGGGGGGGGACTGGGGTTTTAGTATAGAGGGGGGCTGGGATTTAGTAGAGGGACTGGGAGTAGAGGGGGGGACTGGGGTTTAGTATAGAGGGGGGGCTGGGGTTTAGTAGAGGGGGGGACTGGGGTTTAGTAGAGGAGGGTGCTGGGGTTTAAAATAGGGGGCTGCTGTTTTTTTTTTACTGTACTTTTCAAAATAAACCTACATTTCTATGGAAATGTATGTTTGTTTGTTTTCCTGAGGCCCACATAAACTGAAACCTTGTTTATTTGTCCTGTGCTAGCCTTTGAGCTTGACATGTTTGATTTAGAGGCTAAGATGCTTGGAGCCTCTCTTTACAAGTCATATATTAACTCTTTTACTTACAAAGGCATGTACATACAGTTTGACCTACTTTTACAATGACTGCCATCATACCACCACCAGGGTATTTGTCAACGTTTATCTACTTACGGCATATTTAATTCATGCAACAAAAACTATTGGTATGCTTCTCAGTCAGGGGTAGGCAACCTTTGGCATTCCAGATGTTGTGGAGTATATTTACATAATGTTTTTATGCGAAGCACCAGGGGAGATGTAGTTCACAACATCTGAAATGCCAAAAGATTGCCTACCCCTGTTCTAGACTAATATTTCAGACTTTAGCTGTAGCGTTTAATGGTGACTTCTGTACAGAAATTTCTAATGTTATTCTAACAGTATTAAAACATTTGCAAAGCGTATTAAATCAAAGCCTTTGTCTGAAATGTTGCATTAAAATAGATATCATATTGTCCCTAAAACAGTTTCTCAATTCAATATTTTTAGTTTGGTAGTGAAAGCATTGTATGGTAAATCCCTTCCAAAATATATAGTTTAAAAAAATTACTACAGACTGCAGTGACTGTGCAACAATAAAATATTAAGTCCAAAATAGTCCGGTTTTAAACATAAAGCAGTTTAATCAGGTTTTCCTCTAAAGGGAAAATGTAACAAATTTTACTTTACAGGATTATATTATCTTATCCACTATATTTAACAAATTAAAAAAAATAAATTAAAAAAAATTCACACCACATTCCTAGAATTTAATGCCTGCGTCATGGCTTCCTGTCAATCATTGTAATAGGTTCTGCCCATTTGGTCAGTAATAAAAGAAAGCCTATGTCAGTCAGAGAGGATATCTCCCCATAACTAATGTCATATATCTCCACAAAGGTCATTTGAATGTAGATAGCAAGTGGAAGAGAAACAAAAACAATGGCCAACATAACAATCAAGAGTAGGTATCCAATTAATATTTTTTACTTTTAATTAAATAACAATTAGCAAAGAAATCACAATTAAAAAAGCTTCACTGGTAACATAATGCTTTCCTCTGCTGGTAACACTGCTGGCGTCAAGATATGGCACTATGTTAAACTAGCCTTACGCCAAGTACAACAACATGTACTATGCCATATGTATGAATAGCTCTTGAGCTGTAGATGGCGCTGTTTAGTTCAGCTTACTGTTTGTATATGCATGTGAATTTGTTTGTCTATTCACAGGCAGGAAGTTTTGTTTTGCTCTCTGTAGCTCCTCCCTTTTTGTGTATTGGCTGCTGGTTTTCGAGTAACAGTTGTTTTGTAATTGCTTCCTGTTTAATCCACTAAAAAGCCTAATGCTGCATTGTCGCAAACTTCCAGTGTTCTTTTCCTGAAACGTAACCAACAGATTGTATGTTTATTCTTCTAATGTCACGCTCGATTAGCCGATATTAGCCGAAGGTTAATGAGAAAAAGAAGCACTTTTTTTTTTGTCACATCACAGAATGAACATTACAGCCACATTTAGAAATTATTTTAATTATTGTTCATTCATTCTGATTTTCAAGTTAAAATGATCACATTTTCAATGTTCCTGTTCAATTGTCAATATATCCTACTTAGCAGGATTGTGATTGAAACTTCAGTGTTTAACTTAAAGGAACACTATAGCATCAAGAATAAAAATATGTATTCCTCACGCTAGAGTATACTAGTCACAGTTTAGGTGAGCCCCTGCTGCAAGTGTTAAAGAGGTGAGTTTACTCCCTCCCAGCACTTGTCTTCGTCATGCTGTTCCAAGACTGATGATTTCAGCCACTCCAATGTTTTCCCATTGTAATGCATTGGAAGATTTTTGCGCATGCACGGTAAAACATCACACTGTGACAATCAGATCCATGAGTTTTAATTGGCTATTTCAGCAGAATTACCTCTATAGACAGCCACTATAGGCATGTTAACCCTGTAATGTAAGCATTGCCGTTCCTGCAAATTGTGAATGTTTTCAGCAGGATTAAAACCGGCGGGGAAGGGGGGAGGGGGTGGTGACACCATCCAGACCACTTAATTGAGACAAACTATTAAGGTATCGATGTTGCTAAAGGCTCATCTTCTGCCATTTACATGTTGATAAATACTGAAGGCATGATTGTAATTTCCTTAAATATTTCCTTAAATACGATGCAATGTGTGCCTGGCTGTGCCTTGGCTGATGGTTTGTAATTTAAATTGCTAAATATTTACTATGCATTTAAAAGAATCCGTATGAAACAGTGATTTCTTAATTCCTACCTTTTGTTGTACTTGATATAATCTCCTGGGCACTCTTATTTGGCACTTTGTATAACAATGTTATAAATCCTTCTGGCACCAGTTCTGACAATTGCTCAGCTGAAAAAGTAGAATTTGTTGTTCATACTGAAACACTGGAGACAAAATGGTTTTGTTTTCCAACCAGCTTGCCACAACAACACTAGCAGAACACAATAAAAGGTTTGTGGTGTGCATGCACACTATAAAAGGTTTGTTGAGCGCATGCACACTATAAAAGGTTTGTTGAGCACATGCGCACTATAAAAGGTTTGCTGAGTGCCTGCACACTATAAAAGGTTTGATGAGTGCCTGCACACTATAAACGTTTTGCGGAGTGCATGCACACTATAAATGTTTTGCAGAGTGCATGCAAACTGTAAAAGGTTTGCTGAGTGCATGCATACTATAAGAGGTTTGCTGAGCGGATGCCCACTATAAAAGGTTTGCTGAATGCATGCACACTATAAAATATTTGCTGAGTGCATGCACACTATAAAAGGTTTGCTGAGTGCATGCCCACTATAAAAGGTTTGCTGAGTGCATGCACACTACAAAAGGTTTGCTGAGCGCATGCACTTTCACTAAACAGTGGCTTACAAAACCAAATTGCATAATTTAGGCAAAATTCTCCAAATAGTCACAATTTGGAAACTTTTCCAACTGGTTTTCAATTCACTACAACTAACTGTTAAGTGAATATACCCCCCATTGCCGGCTTACCTGATTTGCTACATTTCACAGTTATTTATTAAATTGTATACACCATGCACATGAATAGGCATTAATGCTTCAATTTATTTAAATATGGTAAACATTAAATTTTTTCCTGTAGGATGTATTGGGGTAACCGATTGCAGTAAAAATAAAAACAAGCCCTTAGTCATTGCTTTTTAATCAAAGCATTAGAAAACTTTACAAAAGACCACATTTTTGTGAATAGCTGACTCCATCCACTCTTGTTCACAATGGTCACAAAGTCTCTACAACTCGTTCTCTCGTAGACAGCATTCTTATATTACTATTGTTTCTTAAGTTGAAGTACAAATTGCCGGATATTTGAAGGTCACCATGCGATAGCCACATGCAATAATAAACCGGATACTCTTTGTCTGGATATACTTGTTTTCTGTAAGCTACTGTATCTGAGACAAAATATACTAAATTTCTAAATGTTTTTCCAATCTATAGTCAGTTTACCTTAAACAAACCTATTGTTAATGTAATGATGCACCACAAGAAGTAAATAATATCTAATACTGAGGTCGTACTTATTTCTACACGTTAGGAACAGTCGATATTTATCAGTATAATAATAATAATTATTATTATTATTATTATTGGCATTTATATAGAGCAAACTTATTCCACAGCGCTGTATAGCATTATAAAGGAGGAAGTTTAACAATGAGACAGTTATAAAATGTTACAGGAACAATAGATTGATGAGGACCCTGCTCAAATGAGCTTACAGTCTAGAGGAGGTGGGGTATAAAAACACAATATTATTCAGATTCACATTATTATTCATTTAAATCGGTACTTTAGAAAAATGAAAGAATCCAACACAATTTAAGAGTATTTGACAGGTTTTGGCCGTATTTTCATCTTGTATTTTTCTCTGTATTCAAATCATTTTATTATATGGGGCAATAAAGTTTTGCAGCTTTTTGGAGCATAGCCCTGCCCCCTTGGCCACACCTCCCCTTTTCAGATAATATCTTCCTGATTTGAAGTACACAGGACTTGTACAAAGGCTCTGTAATGACACAATACTTTTGTTGCAGTGATATGACAATATTTTATTGTCTTTATTTTCTTAATTGCACAGTGCTTCAATTTGTGTTGGCTCTTAATAAATAATAATATGCTACATTAACAGCTTAGCTGAGTGTTTGGGTAGTACTTTATTGACTAGCTAAGTTTTCAATCTCTACTTTTTATAGGAAATGAGTAATCTAAATGTTGAGGTGTGGATGAGGAGGATTAAAATATCACAGTGTTTAGGCAGGTTATTAGTATGACAACTCATTTGCGCTCTTTCTACATGGTTGGGGTGAATAGAAACATAGAATGTGACGGCAGATAAAAACCATTCGGTCCATTTAGTCTGCCCAGTTTACTAAATAATTTCATTAGTCCCTGGCCTTATCTTATAGTTAGGATAGCCTTATGCCTATCTCACGCATGCTTAAACTCCTTTACTGTGTTGACCTCTACCACTTCAGCTGGAAGGCTATTCCATACACCCACTACCCTCACAGTAAAGTAATACTTCCTGATATTATTTTTAAACCTTTGTCCCTCTAATTTAAGACTATGCCCTCTTGTTGTGGTAGTTTTTCTTCTTTTAAATATAGTCTCCTCCTTTACTGTGTTGATTCCCTTTATATATTTAAATGTTTCTATCATATCCCCCCTGTCTCGTCTTTCCTCCAAGCTATACATGTTAAGATCCTTTAACCTTTCCTGGTAAGTTTTATCCCGCAATCCATGAACCAGTTTAGTAGCCCTTCTCTGAACCCTCTCTAAGGTATCAATATCCTTCTGAAGATACGGTCTCCAGTACTGTGTACAATACTCCAAGTGAGGTCTCACCAGTGTTCTGTACAATGGCATGAGCACTTCCCTCTTTCTACTGCTAATACCTCTCCCTAATAGGGCTAGGTATATTTTTGCCCGGGGCCCAGTGTAACTGCCTTAATCTGGCTATCGAGCTCCTAGACTACTATAGATTTGGGCTCCAAAGTATTAACAAGGCTACTGGGAGTGGATGTGTTCACAATACTATAAATGATAAGGAGAATTGGAACCATTACAAGTCTGTAAAAAAATGTGTGGCCCCTGATTACTTCTGAAGTGATATATATGCACTTATTTACTGTTATCACTGTTAAAAAGTAAATACATTATGGGGGAAAAAATGAATGTGGGAGTTAATGCTGGTAGATTAGATATAATGGTTTAGGGTTAAGGAGTTTAAATTCAGGGGTAATTTAAAGGACCACTATAGTGCCAGGGAAACATACTTGTTTTCCTGGCACTATAGTGCCCTGAGGGTGCCCCCAACCTCAGGGACCCCCTCCCGCCGGGCTGGATGGCGAGGAAAGGGGTTAAACCTACCTTTATTCCAGCGCTGGGCGGGGAGCTCTCCTCCTCCTCTCCGCCTCCGATCCTCCTCTTCGGCTGAATGCGCATGCGCGGCAGTAGCTGCGCGCGCATTCAGCCGGTCTCATAGGAAAGCATTTACAATGCTTTCCTATAGACGCTTGCGTGTTCTCACTGTGATTTTTCACAGTGAGAAGCACGCAAGCGCCTCTAGCGGCTGTCAATGAGACAGCCACTAGAGGATTTGGAGGCTGGATTAACCCATTTATAAACATAGCAGTTTCTCTGAAACTGCTATGATTATAAATAAAAAGGGGGTTAATCCTAGAGGGACCTGGCACCCAGACCACTTCATTAAGCTGAAGTAGTCTGGGTGCCTAGAGTGGTCCTTTAGTTGTGGAGATCTTCAGGTTTAGGGCTGATCAGGGTTAAGGACAAAAAAGAGCAGGGGGTCTCAAGAATAGGATCACAAGGATTAGGTTTGTTTGCAAACTGCACTTCTGGGGACTAAGGGTTAGGAAGACATGTCTAGAAACGTTTGGCTGTGTTTAGAGGTAGGGGCTTAGTTTTGTGGGTTTTGTTAGAATACGTTAAGGATCTAAGGTTTAAGGGGGGATAAAGTGATACCTGCTTTTAAGAAGCTGTTGATTGTAACTCTCATAACTCTCAGCCAAATATAGCCCATCTCCCACTACACTTAATCCTATTGTAGATGCTCTAATTCCACATACTGATAAGGGATTTGTACATGGGGTACTGCTGTACCCCACATTACTACAAGATCGGCTATAGCAGTGTGTACTCCCTGCAGTGGCCATTATACGCAGCGCTGTACTGCCACTGTGTCATCTGCTGAATATTATTATTGTCAATATTTTCATTAGACATTCTATAAAATGTATCCATTGTTAAACCTGCCTTCAGCATCCCTGATACAATATTACTGAAATGTATCTCCTGGGAGCTGACAGCCTGGCTCCCAGCACTCTGCCCTAGGGCTGCAGCTTCAGTAAACCTTTACCAAGCACTGGACACACACCCTGCTGCTGCTGCTGTTACCTTTGGAAATCTGTGACTGCAGGGAACTCCCTCTCCTATCCTGCTACAAGATCTGCCCTGCAGCCCTGGGCTACTGATGTCCTCCATCTTCCTCCCAGTGTGAAGTCACTTGAGCTCTGGGAACTCAGCCAACACAGTCAGAAAAGCTTCACTTGCAACAACAGCCCCTGTTGCATGTGCACCTTTAGCAAGCAGATCACGTTGCTCCTAGATTATCCATTAACCTGATTTGAGCTGCATTTCCTGGAGGTGGCGTTTTTTGTATTCCTGTACTTTTTTTCCCTAAGAGCCTGCAATCAGGAGACACTGAGAGAGGGGCTGGGAAAGGAATATAATCAGAAAGAAGGGAAGGCACAGCCACCAATACCCCCTCCCCTTCCCTGGGGGGCTTATTAGTAATTCAGATTGCATGCAAATCCCCCCCTCCCAGCCCTGTCCCTGTGAAGAAGACCTCACATTGCTCTCTTTGCAGAGTAGCACTAAGATCTCCTCCCTCCTCCTGGGTGGGTTTGTCTGCTCTCCAAGTGGAGAAGGTTTTTTTTTTTTCTCTTTCTTTTCTGGAGCTGCAGCAGAGCCTGGGGAAGTCCTCATAGCAGAGCTTGCTGTCACATTCTCCCACTTGCCTTGAATGCTCCTGTCTTCACTGTGGACCTGGGGAGAAGGAAGGTGGTGAGCTCCAGACATGGTGGCTTTGTGGACTCTAGTTGGGCTGGTGGCTGTGTGTCTGGGAATGAGTCGGGGACTTTGTCCTGAGAGAGACCTGGAGAAGAGAGAAGAAGAGGCGAACATCGTGCTCACTGGCACGGTGGAGGAGATCATGAATGTGGACCCAGTCCATCACACCTACTCCTGCAAGGTAATGGGGGCATTGACTGAGCTCAGGGACTGGAGGTTGGGGTGTGCTCTTAACTTCACAAAACTCATAAATATCACTTTATCAAGGGGCTTCAGACCACCACAACTAGGTTCCTGGGGCACATAGGTATGGAGCCCTTCAAAGTGCCAAGGTTGGAGGGGGCACAACTTCATGGCACTACAAGTGGGTTGTAGTTTATCCTGTCTGCATGCAGTTCAGCTGATATTTACAGACAGAGCCGGGCAGCACAGTGTGATTTTATTTCTTATCAGTATAATGGCCAGTCACATTTTCACTTTATCTCCAATGCTGTGTGTTTAAATTGACTGCAATGCAAAGAACAGTTATGGGTATTGAAGGTGTTAAATACCATAAATTTGTCAAACAGAAGAGTAACTTGAGGTCCTTGATAATTTGTTAAATAATAAAATGTAAAAAATAAACCATATATTGTAAGAGATTGCATAAAATATCAGGTTGAAATACAGACTGCACTGTGTGTTTGTAGAACATAATCCATCCCCAGGCAGAGATGGTATTCAGAACTCCTCAGCCAGGCTTTGATGCTACATGTTACAATAGGCGAGTCTAAATGAAAGTTGTTGTTTTTTTTATTTGGAGGAGGGCTCCAGATCCCATAGCCACCCCTTTTCTGTACTGCATCCAAAAAAACCTGTTAAGACCCATGAATCAGCAAAGATATTCCTATATTATACAGAGAGGAAAGAAGTTACTTTCACAAGTGATGTAAACTGCCCAATAGTCCAAATAGCTCTCAAGTAAATGATAAGGATCCATTTTCTTTAGGAAATAGATTAAGTATTTGTAACCACACACTGGATATATTTTTTAAGAGCCAATGAATATATTCAGGACTTACAGAATAACAAAAAAAGTTGAGGATCATAGGATATATTGGATATATAGTATCTCTTGATACAGACAATATTACACAAATCCCATCAGCCAGCTCTGCTTATTTTGATAAAAATGCTAAATAATTCAGTGTGAGCATTCATAATCTAGAACAGGAGTGGCACACCACCTGTTGTGCCTACAACTACATATCCCACAATCCATAGCTGTATGTGATGTGTGTCTGCATGTGTGTGTATGTGTGTGTGTGTGTATATATGTGTGTATATATATAATGGAAAAAGTTGTGTGTAATTGCAATGTACAAACCATGCTGTTATAAGTCATTTTAATGGTTTCAATGAGCACTTAGAAGCAGTTTGAAGTATATATTTAGTGTTGTGATTTTGAAGGGAAACATATAATTTTTGTATATTTTTAGTTGGTAGAATACATGAAGTGAAAGATTTCTGTCAGTCAGGTCTTCCAAGTATGTGAACTGTTATTAGCTTTTGGAGAACTCTACAGAGAATTGGCCATTTTGTAAATACACCTATCTCAAAAGCCCTGCATTTCAACACTTCCAGTTATTGAATTCCAGAGCTGACCTGAGGCTAGGCTTTTTTGTTTAGTTGTAAGGCTGAAGTACAGCAGGTTCCTGAACAGAGAGCTCATAGCACAAGCATGGAACGTTACAGCAGAATTAACCCTTTCCGTCTGTGCATGCCTTTCATTCTGAAGGTTTAAACAACTTGGAGAGATTTATGACTTTTCAAACAAGTTCCTTCATGTCACTGATGTGGGACAAATCAACAGGAAATCAAAGGAGATTTAGTGGCTGTTGAGTCTCCTAATGAGTCCCAGGCTGGAGAACAAATTAGAA